TGTTTACATGTTAATGCCGAACAGAGTTCTGCACATGCGCGGCCGTGACTGGGGGAAAAATAGGCAGCAAAGGATACATCAGATGTATCCTTCAAATCTGCTCCAAAAGTGGGCGTTCCCGGCCCGCTGCCTACGCTGCCCAGCTCGAAACTTTGAATTTGGACACCCCTGCAAAGACCGTCGCTTGCGGAAGTGACGTCAAAATGCCTACGAATCCACCCTACATAGCCTGTTGCCTACCAATTTGGACACAGGCAATGTCTGAGTGTGTCCATACTGTCTCCATTGGATAACATGGGAACTTCACACCTCTCTATGAAAATAACCACACTTTGGAGTCTGTCATGCGCAGACCGTTTGACAAATTAAAATTCTATATTCAACTATTGATGGTCCATGTGTTGAGATGATGTGGAGCGATTTTCAGCTAAATTAGTGAAACGGCCGCGGCTGGTTTGATGTTTGAGCGAGGTGTACTTTTCAGAGATATATGATTTTCCCATGGACACAGACAGGGGAGTGTTGGTCGTCGCCACAGCAACAGGGTAAAAAATAATCATATGTTGTCAATAACTTTTTGAATCCAGAGGACAAAACAGAATTATGTGCAAAATTTCAAACATTTTGAAAAAACTAAATTGGATTAGGCCCATGTAAAACTTTGACATAGTCTGTAGGGGGCGCTAATGAGCCGATTTCAATATTTCAACTTTCAAATGACCTAGACCCTGGAGCTGAAATTTTGTGCAAATCTGGCTTCTTGTGTGCAAACGGGAGCAAATTCACTTTTGTCAAACAATTTAAAAAAAAAGGCACGTTTTGCCGCTCCGCTGCTCGGACAAGGTTTAACTGATCCAAATTCTTGATTCAACTATTGATGATACATGTGTTTAGACCATGTGGAGCGATTTTGAGACAAATTGGTGAAACGGCCGAGGAGGAGATGATTTCCAACCGACATGTGTGAAAAAGATCAATTTTCATTTTTCCATTTCCCGTTGAAATTAATGAGCTCCTTGTTTGTCAGGGGGCGGAGCCATAATAACTTTTTTTTCATGTCTTGACTTGAGGAACGTGTGTACCAAATTTTGTGGCTCTATGACAAACTTGACCTCCGACCCCCTCCCATAGGCGCAATGTAAACTGACTTTTGTAGGGGGCGCTGTTCTGGTATTTTTTTTAGTCCCATAAAAATAACCACCAAAAGAATTTATTTTTCGCCGGTTCTGAATTTTGGGCAAAATTTCACTACTTTTCATCAACGTTCAGGGGGTCAAATTAAGGCTCAAAGTGCAGAAGAAAAAAGAAAGAAAGAAGGAATTTTTTTTGAAAATCTTTGAGCAAAAACAATATAGGTTTCCATAGTAACCTATAATACAAATGAAACATTGTTTTAAAGCGAACCACCAGACGAACGCAACTATTGGGTTCAAAGATCCTCACTGAACTTCTGGAGTGAGTTTGCTGCACTGAAAGTAAAGGGGCCGAATAATATTGCACGCCCCACTTTTCAGTTTTTTATTTGTTAAAAAAGTTTAAATTATCCAACAAATTTCATTCCACTTCACGATTGTGTCCCACTTGTTGTTGATTCATGACAAAAATTTAAAATTTTATATCTTTATTTTTGAAGACTGAAATATGGCAAAATGTTGAAAGGTTCTAGGGGGCTGAATACTTTCGCAAGGCACTGTATATATATATATATGCATATGATTATGTATAAAAATCATTTAAAAATAATTATAATAATAATAAAAAATAAACATATATTTAAAAAAAGAAGCCAGAGCCCGGCACAAACCCAACAGCTGAGCGCCAAATGAGGCCCGAGCCCGGCCCGAACTCAGGTTGGGCCTCGGGCCTGCTCGGGCTCGGGCTGAAAAGCGAAACTCTATGAGCTATTGACCGCGCAACCGTAAACCCATGCATGTGATCAAGCCTACGCCTCCTTTGACACGGATTGGCCGAAATCTAGACGCTTAAAATGCAATTACTTTGGGTGCGTGTGTCGCGTGTGTGACATGCAGTGAGTGAGCGATGCATTTAAGGTGGCTCTGAAAATACGGGACAAAAGCCGTCCCGTATCCATTCAATACGGGACGCACATAGTTTTTCTATAATACGGGACAATTCCGTATTTCAACGGACGGTTGGCAACTGTACTCACAGCCGACGGATCAACAGAGGCTTCTACAAGTGTTTTTATAGCTGCATTAATTCAAAAGCTATCAGAAAGACAGCAATGACAGCAGCTCCTTTCCCAACTCGCTTGTACCGGCAGCCACACCGTCTGTCCATATGGCTGCTGACGGTCATGTGACTGAGTGACGTGATGATATATATATATATATATATATATATATATATATATATATATATATATATATATATATATGGTTTTTTTTCTGAAGAGGAGTTGTTGAATTGGTAGTTCTGACGCGAGCCCCGATGAGCGGATCTTTACTCTGGCACGGAGACAATGTCCGGGTGCTGGAGCAGTGCCGGTGCTGGGGGGTGCCTGCAAACTCTGTGCCTGCATATTGGATAAGTGCGGTCGATGGATGACAGACAGGACGAACCAGTAGAGAACAAGCCAGCTTATCCACATAGGTGGGCTGGACTGGTAGCAGGTAGCAGGTGACAGCTCTGCTCATGGAAACAGAAGTAAGTAGCTCGAACACACACAGACCCAATGTCACTTTCTGTATTCCAGAGGGATATTCGTGCATTCAATAATCCCCTTATCGAGCAGTATTTTAGTGTCCAAAGTGCTTTAAAAAATAGATAAAAGGCGAATTGGTTATGCCTGCACTGGCAGATGGGGGAACCTTGTGCTGTCTTCAGTGAAAATAGTAAATGTATATAAATAAATGTGCACTTTATTGTCCCCGTAGGGAAATTTGCCCTCTGCATTTGACCCATCCTGATGCCGCTAAGGCTCATGTCAGGAGCAGCGCCCGGGGACCCCTCTCCAGATGTTGATGCTCGGCTTGGTCAGGACTACTAGAGCTGGAGGATTTTACCTAGTGTGCATATTTTTAGTTGTAGGGGAAACCGGAGCACCGGGAGAAAACCTACGCAGACACCGGGAGAACATGTAAACTCCACTCAAAAAGATCCTGTTGCGACCGAGATTCGAACCCAGGACCTTCTAGCTGAGAGGCGAGAGAGTGCTATTGCCTAGGTTACTACAACCGTATACCACACAAAAATACTGCATTGTATCTATGAAAGTCAGCTAAGTAAACTGATGCTGCTCTAACTCCCACTCTAGCTCCGCTCTGATCAGCAGCACTGATTGGTCAGAGCGCGGCCAAGTCCCTCTGTGCAAGTGCATGAGAGCCAAACATGCGTATTTGGCGCAACGCATCATGGGAGTTTGTCCACTGCGCAGAAACGGGAGGACCAGTCAATGCCAAAATATAGTGAGTGATATGACGAGTTCGGCTAATCTATCGGCCCATGTCGGCCCCAAATGCGCCACTGAGCACAAACCATTCATTTGAATACGGCGCCATCTTGGATCGCCAGGGCTTGCTGTGGCCGCAGATGCTGCACAGGCTAATGCATTTCTTCCGTTCCTTTTTAGGCATTTTTCCAAAAACCAACACCCGTTCGTTAAATACATTTTAGAGCAGGGGTCTCCAACCTGTAGCTCGGGAGCCACCAGTAGCTCGCCACCCAAGATAAAAATACAAGAATTATTGATTTATCATGAAAACTGACCAAGTTAGAGCTTCACACGTAAAGGGAAAATTACCGAAAACATTTACCGAAATGTTACACTTTCCCACACTCCAATTTTGTCCAGCTCTTAGTATGTAGTAGACTAGACCCAACCTAGCACAAAACCACCAAAAATTAAAACGATAAAACATTTTTTTTGGGTCCATCAGTATATTGACCCTACTCACAGTAGTTTGAAACGATAGGGCTGGAAAGTCTCGTCCCAGAAGCACTTCCGGTTCATTGCTCGGATACAAACAAACCGTCAGCTGTTCGAAGAGGCGTTTAAGTGAATGGTGCAAAATGCTCTGCTTTGTTTTCGGCTGTAATCATCAAAGTTCACATGAAGCATGCTCATTTTTTAGGTTTCCCAAAGACCAACTGAAGCTATGGGAAAAGCTATGCAGTTCTGATAAAACATTTTGTCTGATTTTACAGACGGTTAACTTGAATATGTATTCAAGCTAACTTGTAGCTAATGCAAACCTGTAATAGTGCGTGGCCAAGCCTTTAATTGTGGCTTGTATTTTAAGATAAGATAAGAAACTGTATTGATGTCACACAGGAGAAATATTGTCTCTCAAATTAATATTTATTTGAGAGATAAAGGAAGAACATATTAACACATATTAAATAACATTTAACAAATGTTCAAATATAACAAAAAACGGACAATCCTTAGAATTAAATGAATAGGTAACCCAACTACATCATCATCATTTTTGACAGCACAGCAAAAAGGAAAAAGGCCCAATGTGAAGCTGCAGTGAGTGTGAAGTGGAGATGGGGCTAATGAACAGATAGACAACTGATCATTCATATACATTGGCTTAAAACCAAAGCAGCAAAGATAGCTTTAAGGGACAACATCAATTTATTTGCATAGGAATAGTGTTTCTATATTTTCTTTCTGATGCGTGATAGTGGATTGAAATACAATGAGTTTGAACCATAGACTGTATGTTTGAACACAGCCCTGCACCTTTCTCATCTCCCCGTCTTATAAAACGTCAAGACATGGCCAGTTCACAGCTAATTCCGACCGTTCACTCAGTTTTTCTGTCCCAGAGACGAAATGTGTCCAAAATAACACAGGAAAGTCCATTAAGGAGGAAGAAGTCAGCGATCTCCGCACCACACAACTGGCACGTGTGGTTTGTTTGTATCCACGGGTGGAAATCTCGCAAAATCTCGCACTTCCGCTTTCCAGCCCTATACGGCTTGTCGAGCTACGATCAGAAACATAACAGATGGTTGTAGCTATTGTTCACCTGGGTCGCCAATGTGAATAGGGGCTCCATGCGCCAGGGGGTTCAGATGTGTGACCTCCACCACTGTGTCGATCATTTCAGCCGGAACAGGACGCATGGTCACCACCATGGGACAGTGAAAGACTCCTGCTGGTGCACAAGGCACAGTGGTCTGCACACAAACACACCTGTGCAGTCAATGCAGAAATGTATAAAGAATAAAGACATGTAGAATTCACGTTTCTCTCCCACAAAATAAGAGTTTTGGAGCAAATGGATTCGGAGCAGAGTTCTATCAAAGCTTCAGCTCCAATCCTGTTTAGAATGATTAATGATTCATTATAATCACTATATGCAAGGGAAAAGTTTGTGTAAGCTCTCAGTCGTACAGGGATTAGTCAAAGCCAAGGAAGGTTTCTCACCCATCATCTGTACTTCTTAGTAGGTTTTCCCCACGTTTTGTCCTTCATCTAAAGGACTTCTTCAAGGGAATGAGATCTCAGACTGTGCGTTGGAGATTTGTAACCTCTGGGTGTGGTTAGCCACACCCTAATCCTGATGCTAACTCATTAACAAACTAAGGTCTGTTTGATGTGGAAGGGAGCAGGTCTAACGACCCTGCTGCGGCTAACGATCCAAACTCATTAGCACATTAGCACGGTGACAGGAGTGGGGAGACCTGCACTCCACTCGAGCAATCTCAGCAGACAATAGGTCTGTGATATGCTGATGAATTAGTTTGTTGTCAAGATGCATGAATAAACACTGAAATACGACTGAGGACAATATTTTCAAGATTACATTTATTGCTGCTACAGAAGGTGGTTTAAGATTTGTCGCTTAGACCCCAGCAGAGTACTGCACAGGAAATTGATTATGAGATGAAATCCCCTGGGGCCTAGACCCTGGTTGTGGAAGCTAGGAGAAGGATGAAAGAGCTGGCTCGAAATAAGGCTGATAGTGATTCTGATGGACGTCTTATGCTCCCTAGACGCGAGCAGGAGGAGGTTGCGGGGCTGATTTCAGATATGTGCCCGCATTGGTGTGTATGCACACCATGAACTTGTTTTATTGAACATTTTCAGCAAAACAGAATCTGAGAAAACTACAGTGTGGTTGGCCAAAGAGAATGTTAGTGGCATGATTAAAAATGTACGCTGCTAAAATGCCATTAACTAACAGCACTAATTAATTATGTTTTTTTTAAGGTTGGAAAGTTTTATATTGTCATATTCTGTAGGTCAACCAGGACATACAAATCCTACTGTTTTTACTAGGGCCGGGACTTAATCAACGCCACAAAAATTAGCACGTTAAAACATTTGACGCATTTTAATCGCATGTGTATTTTCCACCGCGGAACGTTCCTCACTGGAGGATGAGTTTCAGACAGACTGATTATACTGGAGCACCAACTGAGCTCCGTGACTTTTCTTGTTCAAAAGTACATTATAACAAGCATAGACCAACTTTAGCTGTGTCTAAAACTGAGTGAATTAGAGACGGGAAAGAGCGCTGTGTATGGAGCTATGGACTCTGTGTGAGGAGGAGGAGCAGCAGCGAGCGACTCCTGTGAGCGGAGGAGGTGTGTGAGTACGGTTGCCAACCGTCCCTTGAAATACGGAATTGTCCCGTATTATAGAAAAACTATGTGCGTCCCGTATTGAATCGATACGAGACGGCTTTTGACCCGTATTTTCAGAGCCACCTTAAATGCATCACTCACTCACTGCATGTCACACGCAACACACACACAAAGTAATCACAGTTTAAGCGTCTACCTTTCGGCCAATCAGTGTCAAAGGGGCGTAGGCTTGATCACATACATTGGTTTAATGTTGACAGGCGCAAGCGTGGGCCGCTCCCGCAGCTTCATCACAGCAGAAGTTTCATGGGTAAAGTAGCGCCATATTCCTAGATTCGGACTTCCGAGGTCAATAGTTCACGAAAGCTACTTTGTTAAAAAAAAGTCACTGTGCTAAAATGATCATCTCTACGTTTTTGTTTTTTTCAAATCCAATGCGCTGCAGAGAAATCCATTGAATCCAGTTCACTGCAAGCGCAGAGAAAAGCGTTTAGGGAGCGTCAACAAATGTCAAGACCAGCTTTGTAAACGAACAATAGCTTTTACTGAAGCCATGTACACGCACTAAACTCTCAGACAATATAAATAATGACCATATCTAACTGCTACAGACTTTGATTTCAACATTTGTGAGTTTTTTTAATGAATACAAATGTTTTTCTTTTTTTATTTGCTTATACAGTAAATGGTCTTTACTGTAACATTCATATATAATGTATGTTACAGCATTTGTCTTTTTTATTTTTTTTATTAGTAATAAGAATGCATTAAGTCCTCAACCAGCCAAAGAGTTCCACCTATTTATTCAATTTCATTTTTGACTAAGGATATGGTTTTTATATGTAGTCAATAAATTACAATTATCTAAAAACTGTGAATATGAAATACCATGATTACTGTGTGGGTTACTGATTGAAATTAGGACTAAAAAGTGCTCAAACCGATCCACCCAAATGGTGTCCCTTATTTTTTTGTTCTCAAGTTGGCAACCCTATGTGTGAGCTACTCTTACTGATGTTTTAGTTCTAATTCACACATCAAAAACGTATTATAAGCTTCAGTGCTCATTTCGAGTGTAGTGGATTTTGGGCTTAAGAAGCGTATGTTGTGGACATAGTGTGTGGAGGCGATGACAGATACGTTATTTGATGGGAAAGAAGTCGTCTGATCATCCACTATAACATGCGTTTCTTAAGCTTATGTATTCAGTCATTATTCAATGGTAAACTAAAAATCCATGTGAAAAAAATTACTTCTCACTGTTCTCAGGACAAATTTATAATGCGATTAAAATGCGATTAGTTGCGATTAATCAATCACAAAGCCTCTAATTAATTAGATTATTTTTTTTAATCGAGTCCCAGCCCTAGTTTTTACAAAGACTGTTTGATTGGACTCACTCTATACATGCTGACATTTACGTCCTGCTCCACATTCCTCAGAGGAACTCCAGCCTCCTTCAGTTTCCCCTCAAACCCAAAACTGCAGCCCAGATAGAAACATACCATGTCCCTGCACAGAGACGCACAAAGGATTACAACTGGTTACAAATGGGTCACAAGACAGATAATGGTAAAAGGTGAAAACATTACCTAAGGCAACATTTGTACTCATTCAGATTGGAGACAGTTTTCAACATCTTGCCGTGTTCATACACACAGTACTGGGAAATGTCCATCCTAGAAAATACAAAAAAACATCTATAATTATCATATTATTACGAATTTGTACCATGGTGAAAGAGGATTCCAATGCAAACTACTAATGAAGAATGCTGTTTAAACCCCATGTTAAATTACAGGTTACATATTGCTCCACCTGAGGTGTCACCATAGTAACTGTGAATTAACGCAAACAGTTAATTCACAGTTTGCGTTATGAAGTTACTTCTAAGTAGGTCCCGTTTCAAGGTAACCGCAGTTCTGGAACAGTCTTTGGCGAAACGTCACTGTCGCTTGCATAAAAAACATACGCAAGTTTCGTCATGGATTTCAGACTCTTTGCAGATCCCCGTCAACAAAGATTTGTGGTGATTTGAAACAAATTGTTTCTGAGCCTCTCGAGAATAAAAGAGAAAGAAGACTCTCTAACTAAAGCTTGAGGGAATTGATGAAAAACCTACTCTGGGCTTGTGTATAAAGGCAAAATAGCAATGTAATCATGTTTAAACCAGAGAAAAGTCAAAAAGCGTAATATGACGCCTTTAAATATTTGGAAGGAAGTTTGTAGAGAAAACAAGTTAATCAGAGCAGATCGGATTTTACGATGACGTGCTTATGACACAGACTTCCTATTTAATCGTAATGACACACAATATCGAACATGGATAAATGCAGGGAGTGGTTGGAATAGTCCATGTGCAGGGTGAGAGGGGTCAGCTGTGATACAACCAGCCCGGCCTCGAGCTCGGGCGACGTACAAGTCCTGCAGCGATGGAAGGCTGCAGCCAATCACCTTCTCTGCAGAGCGCACGATGCACTGTAGTCTCTGCTTGTCCCTGACAGTGGCTCCAGCGAACCACACGGTGATGGAGGAGGTGATGGAGGAGGTGAGGATGGACTTGATGATGGCCGTGTAGAACTGCACCAACATCTGTCCAGGCAGCTTGGCTTTCCTGAGCTGCCGCAGGAAGTACATCCTCTGCTGGGCCTTCTTGATGAGGGAGCTGATGGTCGGCTCCCACTTGAGGTCCTGGGTGATGGTGGTGCTCAGGAAACGATAGGACTCCACAGAGGTGATGGGGGAGTCCATCACGGAGGGTGGGGGCGGGGGGACAGTGCTCTTCCTGAAGTCCACAATCATCTCCACTGTCTTCTGGGCGTTCAGCTCCAGGTTGTTACCACTGCACCAGGACACCAGCCGGTCCACCTCCCTCCTGTAGGCGGACTCATCGTTGTTGGAGATGAGTCCAATGAGGGTGGTGTCGTCCGCGAACTTGATCAGCTTCACGGAGTCGTGGCTGGAGGTGTTCAGCTCCAGGTTGTTACCACTGCACCAGGACACCAGCCGGTCCACCTCCCTCCTGTAGGCGGACTCATCGTTGTTGGAGATGAGTCCAATGAGGGTGGTGTCGTCCGCGAACTTGATCAGCTTCACGGAGTCGTGGCTGGAGGTGCAGTGGTTGGTGTACAGGGAGAAGAGCAGGGGAGAAAGAACACAGCCCTGTGGGGCTCCTGTATTTATAATCCGAGAGTCCGAGACATTCTTCCCCAGACGCACTCGCTGCTTCCTGTCTGTCAGGAAGTCAGTGATCCACCTGCAGGTGGAATCGGGCACGTTGAGCTGGGAGAGCTTGTCCTGGAGCAGGGATGGCAGGATTGTGTTGAAGGCAGAACTGAAGTCCACAAACAGGACCCTGGCGTAGGTCCCCGGGGAGTCCAGATGCTGTAGGATATGGTGGAGGGCCAGGTTGATGGCGTCGTCTACAGATCTGTTGGCTCTGTAGGCGAACTGCAGTAGGTCCAGGAGGGGGGAGGTGAAGGACTTGAGATGGGAGAAGACCAGGCGCTCAAATGACTTCATGACAACAGACGTAAGTGCCACAGGTCTGTAGTCGTTGAGTCCTGTGATCCTGGGCTTCTTCGGGACGGGGACGGTGATGGAGGATTTGAAGCAGGCCGGGACATGGCAGGACTGCAGAGAGGTGTTGAAAATGTCAGTGAACACAGGAGTAAGCTCACTGGTGCAGTGTCTCAGAGTGGCTGGAGACACGTGGTCGGGGCCAGGAGCTTTTCGGGGTTGCAGCCTCAAGAAGAGACGTTTGATGTCTTCTGAGGCTATTGTCAGGGTGGGGGCAGAGCTGATGGGTGGGTCGTTAGAGTAATGGGGAATGGGGATGGGGGAGGTGTCCGGGGCAGCGTCGAAGCGGCTGAAAAACATGTTCAGGTCGTTGGCCAGTCTGTGGTTGTCAGCACAGAGGGGGGCTTTGGGCTTGTAGTTGGTGATCTCCCTTAGGCCCCTCCAGACAGAAGCTGTATCGTTGTTTCCAAACTGCTCCTGTAGTCGTTCTCTGTGCTGGGACTTGGCTGCTTTCAGTTCTTTCCTGAACTGATATTTAGCCACCTTGTAGCCGCTGCAGTCCCCCTCCCTAAAAGCAGACTCCTCTGCTTTTCTGAGCTGCCGGAGTTTAGCAGTGAACCAGGGTTTGTCGTTGTTGTACAGTGCCTTGCAAAAGTATTCGGCCCCCTTGAACCGTTCAACATTTTGCCACATTTCAGGCTTCAAACATAAAGATATAAAATTTAAATTTTTTGTCATGAATCAACAAGTGGAGTGCAGCAAACTCACTCCAGAAGTTCAGTGAGGATCTTTGAATGATCCAATGTCTAAATGACTGATGATAATAAATAGAATGCACCTGTGTGTAATCAAGTCTCCGTATAAATGCACCTGCTCTTTGATAGTCTCAGGGTTCTGTTTAAAGCGCAGAGAGAACCATGAAGACAAAGGAACACACCAGGCAGGTCCGAGATACTGTTGTGGAGAAGTTCAAAGCTGGATTTGGATACAAAAAGATTTCCCAAGCTTTAAACATCTCAAGGAGCACTGTGCAAGCAATTATATTGAAATGGAAGGAGTATCAGACCACTGCAAATCTACCAAGACCCGGCCGTCCCTCCAAACTTTCATCTCAAACAAGGAGAAGACTGATCAGAGATGCAGCCAAGAGGCCCATGATCACTCTGGATGAACTGCAGATAACTACAGCTGAGGTGGGAGAGTCTGTCCATAGGACAACAATCAGTCGTGCGCTGCACAAATCTGGCCTTTTTATGGAAGAGTGGCAAGAAGAAAGCCATTTCTCAAAGATATCCATAAAAAGTCTCGTTTAAAGTTTGCCACAAGCCACCTGGGAGACACACCAAACATGTGGAAGAAGGTGCTCTGGTCAGATGAAACCAAAATCTAACTTTTTGGCCACAATGCAAAACGATATGTTTGGCGTAAAAGCAACACAGCTCATCCCCCTGAACACACCATCCCCACTGTCAAACATGGTGGTGGCATTATCATGGTTTGGGCCTGCTTTTCTTCAGCAGGGACAGGGAAGATGGCTAAAATTGATGGGAAGATGGATGGAGCCAAATACAGGACCATTCTGGAAGAAAACCTGTTGGAGTCTGCAAAAGACCTGAGACTGGGACGAAGATTTATCTTCCAACAGGACAATGATCCAAAACATAAAGCCAAATCTACAATGGAATGGTTCACAAATAGACGTATCCAGGTGTTAGAATGGCCAAGTCAAAGTCCAGACCTGAATCCAATCGAGAATCTGTGGAAAGAGCTGAAGACTGCTGTTCACAAACGCTCTCCATCCAACCTCACTGAGCTCGAGCTGTTTTGCAAGGAAGAATGGGAAAGAATTCCAGTCTCTCAATGTGCAAAACTGATAGAGACATACCCCAAGCGACTTGCAGCTGTAATTGCAGCAAAAGGTGGCGCTACAAAGTATTAGCGCAAGGGGGCCGAATAATATTGCACGCAGCTCTTCCACAGCCTCATCAGACCACACTTTGGAGCGCCTCACTGCAGGTTTCGAGACCTTTAGTCTCTGTCTGTAAGCAGGAACCAGATGGATCATGGAGTGGTCTGAGAAGCCCAGGGCTGCGCGGGGAAGAGCGCGATAAGCTCCGTGCACAGTGGTGTAGCAGTGATCCAGTGTTTTCTCCTCTCTGGTCGGGCATTTGATGAACTGTCTGTATTTGGGTAATTCCTGGCACAAGTTTCCCTTATTAAAATCCCCCAGGATAATAATACGAGAGTCCGGGTATAAACGTTCAATACACAGTACTTGCTCTGCGAGTGCACGATGAGCCTTGCGCCCGTCCACGCATGGCGGTATGTAAACAGAGGCTAGAATGAATTAAACAAATTCACGTGGGGAATAGTATGGCTTACAATGAATGAAAAGATATTCCAGAGCAGGAGAACAGTGCTTGGAGATCACTGTCACATCGTTACACCTGCTTGTATTTACGTAGAAGCAGAATCATCCGCCTCTGCTCTTCCCTGAGAGCGTACAATGGCGATCCGCGCGAAACAGCTCAAAGCCCTGCAGCACAAGAGCACTGTCCGGGATCCGCTCATTTAGCCAGGTCTCAGTGAAGCAGAAGAGACAGGATGAGGCGAAGTCCTTGTTTCTTCTCATCAGCAGGCTGAGTTCGTCCATCTTATTGCCCAGAGAGCGAACGTTGAAAAGGAAAATGCCGGGCAGAGACGTGCGTGTTCCTCTCTTCATGAGGCGCACGAGCACCCCGCGGCGTTTTCCTCTCCTGCGGGTCCTCACTTTTTTGGCTAAAACATGAATTAAATCAGCCGCAGGTGCCAAGAAAACAGGCAGTAGGTCCATGGGAACGGTGGGTCAGATGTTCATAAGTTCCTCACGGATGTAGGAACAGCCAGATGCACAGTTAAAAAGTAAAAACAAAAGAAACAGAGAGCACCGAAAAGCCGTGGCAACTGTACGAGCAGAACAGATAATTGTGATGGAGACTTACAATGTCTCTGTGACTTCAGAAGGAAAAGTGTGACATATTCTGGAGAGGGTAGTTCCAGTACATAAAGGACCTGAGACCAGACTTTGTCTGAATTAAGAGTGGAGGTAGGGGATACTTTGGGAAAATTGTTTATTTTTTATTTCTACTCCCATTTTTGGAAAAAAAAGGAAATAATAATAATTGTTATAGCTCAGTATGGAAAACTTTTTGTTGTCTAATTGTTATTCTTATTCACTTACGTAACGTCTGCTTGTTGAGCCACAGCCTCACACGACATCTGTCCACGCTCGCTCATAAACAGAAGCGGTAAGGGAGCCGTGTTTTTGATACAGAATGCTTCAAAGTCTTTAGCCAGAGCAGAGCTGAGAACAAGCACATTCGCCTGCTGGAATCCTGTTCAACAAAATGCAGATGTACATGTGAGCTTTTAAGCAGAAAAAAATTAAATAAATAAATAAAATAAACAATAGAAACAATGAAAATATTAATTGTAGCGAAAGAATCACCGTCTGGATGCACAATGTTTTTAAAGGAATGTAACTATGCCTCTTGGTAGAGGCAGTGGGGACGGGTCCCGGCTCCAAAAGGTCCATGAGCACGAGCGCTGACATGCTTGCAATACCACTCCGGGCCTGTGAGGGTGGACCCGGAATAATAAGTACCCAATGCTTTTGTATGGTGTCTTCGAGAAACCTCTTAACAGGATGGTCCAAAAGTCGGCTCTTGGCCAAACGCTATGTTCCAGATGTGTGTCAAAGCTGAGGGGAGTATATATTTTTTGGACCAGTCCCGTTCAACCTCTGTGGGCTTCAGAAGGCACTTGACAAATGAATGGGGCTAGTTCCGGCTAACGCATGTGCAAATGAAAAAATGTGAAAAACATTTGAAAATGTGAAAAAACTAATTTGTGCATGCATCAGCCGCAGCCCCATTCATTTAACAAGTGGCTTCAAAATTCCACTACGACTAAACTAGATTGGTCCAAAAAAATACACTCAGCATTGACACACATGTGGAACGTAACTGACTTTTGGACCATCCTGTAAAGCCGTTTTCGAGAGGTAAGAAGATTTTTCCGGGTCCACCCCCATAGTTTACAGAAGTATACGGCGAGTTAGCATCATTGTACTCACAGATGGGGGGTCCGTGTTACGCCTTTTATCATGGGAATAACACATGTTTCTAGATCAGATTTTGAGTAATTCCGGTTCCATTGTCCCTGTAGTTCTGGAACAGTCTCAGTGAAGTGTCGCAGATGAAGTGTTATTATAATAGATCCATGAGATGAATGAGAAAAGTTGAGCTGCTTTCTTCTTCTTCAGGCCAAATAGTGCGTCACATACAGTTACACCCATAACACACGTTATCCAAGTTGACGTGATCCTAACACTTTTAGTTGCTGACAAAAGCTGAAAAACACCAGCTCTATGTGGTGTCCGCGAGACCAAGCCACAGTCGCTGGACTCGGGAGCCGGGCTCCGGAGCTGCGCGCTTTGATTTGCTGTTTTGATCGGTCAATCACTTCCCGCCAGCTTTTACTATTTTATTTTTTTTTCTTGAGCAATCTGCCATTGAACATAATATAGTTTCACCCAAAATCCAGATTCAAACCCGGGCCACTGCGGGGAGAGCGCTGTAACATAAACACGAGACCACCACCCAATACTACGTTTGATTGGCCCCCAGGCAGCTTTTTCAACTGTCAATCAGGAACGTAGCAAGTTTTGAAACAAAGAAATGTTTGTTTTATTCTTGGTTTTGTCATTAAAAACGAGGCTGTTTTTAGTACTTTGGCCTGTTCCTTTACCAGTAAAATTAGCTAACCGTGGGGAGTTCTGGCAACCTGGATCACAGACTTTCTGACAGGTGAAACGGTGGAGGGAGGGACAACAAAATTAAAACAATAAAGAAGATTTACGGGATGTAAAACTAATTTGAAATTCAAATATCCCGGCTGAACTCCTGTCATCAGTAAAAGAAGTATTCAAAAAGAGCATGGTTTATTAAAGTGGTAGTCTGGAGTTTGTCAGAGAGAAGAAAGAGAGGTCATTTTTTCTTGATAACGGACCACTAAAATCAATAATCAGCGCTGCCCTTTGGCAACATAATCTGTGCTTGTAATTCAGGTGTGTAAAATACTAAGATTACGCATGTCACAACGAGCTTTCAGCGCCTGTCACAAACCTTTACTGTCTTTGACAGTTTAAATGTTAATCGGAGAATACATTATACATATGTGATGCGTGCGTGTGTGTGTGTGTGTGCGCGCTAGAGAGAGAAGGAAAAAAATAATAATTCAATCGTCAAGATCATCAACACCAACCTTATTTAATCCATCTTACATTTATGTTTTATGAGTTAAGAGATACTCCAGCCTCCGCCTTCTTTGCCTGTTATCTGCTGTCTATGGATTGTGTGTGTGTGTGTGAGTGTCTGCATTAAAAAGGACATGATTGGAGTGACCGGTGTTGGTGGTGATGACAGCGAGGATAGGTTTATAGAAAATAATGAAGTGAGAAGAAAGAAAAAAAAAAAAAAAGGGAGTGTGAGATATAAGCAACACATGATAGAAGATCTCCCCCTGGACTGCCACCTTAACGTGGTGGGGGAATTTGAGTACTCGGGTGATCCTGGGAGCTATGCTGTCTGGGGCTTCATGCCCCTGGTAGGGTCTCCCATGGCAGACAGGTCTCGGGTGACGAGTCAGACGAAGAGCAGTCGGAAGCCAACATGGACAGCACGAACAGAAGAACCGTGACGTCGCCCGGCATGGCGCAGCCGGGGCCCCACCCTGGAGCCAGGCCTGGGGTCGGGGCTCGAATGCGAGCGCCTGGTGGCCGGGCCTTGGCCCACGGGGCCCGGCCGGGCTCAGCCCGAAGGGACGACGTGGGCAGTCCCTCCTGTGGGCCCACCACCTGCAGAGGGGTCCGTGGTGGCGCGGTGCAGAGAGGACTGGGCAGCAGTCGAAGGCGGAGACCTCGGCGACCCAGTCCACACACCCAACATCTGGCTCTTGGGACGTGGAACGTCACCTCACTGGGGGGGGAAGGAGCCCGAGCTTGTGGGGGAGGTCGAGCGATACCGACTAGAGATAGTCAGCCTCACCTCCACACACAGCTGGGGCTCTGGAACCCAACTCCTTGAGAGGGGTTGGACGCTCCACTTTTCTGGTGTTTCTCGCGAGGAGAGGCGGCGAGCTGGGGTGGCCATTCTCATTGCCCCCCATCTCAGCCGCCACGTGTTGGAGTTCTCCCCGGTGAATGAGAGGGTCGCGTTCCTCCACCTTCGGGTGGGGGACAAGTCTCTGTTGTGACGGCCTACGGGCCTAACAGCAGTGCAGCTGGAGTCCTTGGGTGGGGTACTTGACGACCGGGGACTCCGTTATTCTCCTGGGGGACTTCAACGCCCATGTGGGAAATGCCAGTGACACTTGGAGAGGGGTTATTGGGAAGAACGGCCTGCCCGGTCTGAATCCGAGTGGTGTTCAGTTGTTGGACTTCTGTGCCAGTCACGGTTTGTCCATCACGGACACCATGTTCGAGCACAAGGGTGTCCACCAGTGCACGTGGCACCAGGACACCCTAGGCCGAAGGGTCGATGATCGACTTTGTTGTCGTATCATCTGACCTTCGACCGCGTGTCTCGGACACTCGGGTGAAGAGAGGGGCGGAGCTGTCAACCGATCATCACCTGGTCGTGAGTTGGATCCGCTGGCAGGGGAGGAAGCCGGTCAGACCTGGCAGGCCCAAGCGTGCAGTGAGGGTTTGCTGGGAACGTCTCGCTGAGCCCCCTGTTAGACGGACTTTCAACTCACACATCCGGGAGAGCTTCACCCAGGTCCCGGCGGAGGAGGGGGTCATTGAGTCAGAGTGGACCATGTTATCTTCCTCTATCACCGATGCGGCGGCTCGTAGCTGTGGTCGCAGGGTCTCTGGTGCTGGTCCCGGCGGCATCAGCAGGCCAAGCGCGCCGCGGCCCGGGCCGTTGCAGAGGCAAAAACCCGGGACTGGGAGGAGTTCGGAGAGTCCATGGAGCATGACTATCGGTCGGCCTTGAAGAGATTCTGGCAAATCGTCCGGCGCCTCAGGAGGGGGAAGCAGTTCTTTGCCAACACTGTGTACGGTGCGGGTGGAGGGCTGCTGACCTCAACTGGGGATATTATCGGGCGGTGGAAGGAATACTTCGAGGTTCTCCTCAATCCCCCCGTCACGTCCTCCGCCCTGGAGGCAGAGGCTGAGGATGTTGGGGCGGATACTTCCATCTCCCTGGTAGAGGTAACCAGGGTGGTTGGCAGCCTCCATGGTGGCAAGGCGCCGGGAGTGGATGAGATCCGTCCTGACTATCTAAAGTCTCTGGATGTTGTAGGACTGTCTTGGCTGACACGTCTCTGCAACATCGCATGGCGATCGGGGGCGGTGCCAATGCAGTGGCAGACCGGGGTGGTGGTCCCTCTCTACAAGAAGGGGGGCCGGAGGGTGTGTTCCAATTATCGTGGGATCACACTCCTCTGCCTCCCCTGTAAGGTTTATCCAGGTACTGGAGGAGTGGCTACGGCCGTTGGTCGAATTCGGATTCAGGTGAGCAGTGTGGTTTTAGTCCCCCGGGTCGGGAACATGGACCAGCTTATATCTCCATCGGATATCGCGGGTTATTGGAGTTCGCCAACTGTCCACATGTTGCTTGTGGATTTGGAGAAGGCGTTCGACCGTGTTCCCGGGTGTACTTTGGGGGGTCCTCTTGTGAGGGCCGTCCGTCCCTGTATGACGGAGCCAGAGCAGTGTTCGCATTGCCGGCAGTAAGTCAGACTGTTCGGTGCATGTAGGCCTCGCCAGGGGCTGCCTTTGTCACGGTTCTGATTACGATGAAGGAAGGATGGAGCGTGAGATTGAAGGCGGATCGTTGCAGCGTGCGCAGTGATGCTGGTCGCAGTGATGGGTCGCTGTATCGGACCGTTGTGGTAAAGAGGGAGCTGAGCCGAAAGGCAAAGCTCTCGATTTACAGGACCAATCTTCGTTCCCACCCTCACCTATGGTCATGAGCTTTGGGTAATGACCGAAATTAAGAACGAGATCGCGGATACAAGCGGTCGAAATGAGAAATGAGCTTCCTCCGCTGAGTGGTGGGCGCTCCCTTAGAGACAGGGTGTGGAGCTCAGTCAACGGGAGTAGGCTCGGAGTAGAGCCACTTCTTCTTCACGTCGAGAGGAACAGTTTGAGGTGGCTCGGGCATCTGTTCCGTAAGTTGCCTCCTGGACCGCCTCCCTGGGGGAGGTGTTCCGGGCACGTCCCACCGGGAGGAGGCCCCGGGGAAGACCCAGGACACGCTGGAGGGACTATGTCTCTCAACTGGCCTGGGAGAGCCTTTGGGGTCCCCCCAAACGAGTAGAGGAAGTGTGTGTGGATAGGGAAGTCCTGGGCGTCTCTGCTTAGACTGCTGCCCCGCAACGGAGAAACGGAAGAAGATGGAATGGAATGGAATGGTAATGGAATAGCATACATTTAATCTGCAAAATAACCTCAGTCGTGCACCTTCCGTTTCTAACATACAGTATTAAAGAAGGACAACCGATGAAGGGTACTGAGGGCGATATCAACGATAATCAGAGCAGCATGTGTGTGCCTTTATCAGACAGCATGTGTGCGGCTTTACCTCAGAGCAGCATGTGTGCGGCCTTTATCGGTAAGGGCAGCATGTGTGCGGCCTTTACCTCAGAGGCAGCATGTGTGCGGCCTTTACCTCAGAGGAGCATTGTGTGCGGCCTTTACCTCAGAGCAGTTGTGTGCGGATCAGAGCAGCTGTGTGCGCCTTTACTTGAGGATGCTTTACTCAGGGCAGATCAGCGCAGCATGTGTGCGGCTTTACCTCAGAGCAGCATGTGTGCGGCCTTTACCTCAAGAGCAGCATGTGTGCGGCCTTTACCTCAGGCAGCATTGTGTGCGGCCTTTACCTCAGAGCACATGTGTGGGCCTTTACCTCGGAGCAGCATGTGTGCGGCCTTTACCTGAGCAGCATGTGTGCGGCCTTTACCTCAAGAAGCAGCATGTGTGTGGCCCTTTACTCAGAGAGCATGTGTGTGGCCTATACCTCAGAGCCGCATGTGTGTAGCCTTACTAGGCGCGCACTGTGTGGTAGCCTTTACTCAGAGCAGATGTGTGTGGCCTTTACCTCAGGAGCAGCATGTGTGTGGCCTTTACCTCAGGCAGCATGTGTGTAGCCTTTACTCAGAGCAGCATGTTGTAGCCTTTACTCAGAGCAGCATGTGTTGTGGTGACAGTTTTTGGAGTAATTACATAAAACCAGCCGCAGCAAATACACGGACGTCAAAGGCCTTTTATCAATGCAGACGACCTTCTGACGCCATGCTGAGCTTTGTGAAGGTCCCTGCTGTCTGTCACACCCTTGTGTCTTTCCGTCTTGCATCTGTATGACCTGCATTTCCACCATTGTCTGTCTGTTCACACCCCATGCCACTGCCACCACAGGGGATAGCGCCGGCGCTTCCTGTGCGCCTCCTCACCGGTGGCCCCCTCCGCTCCGTTGTGGGCGTGACTATCTTTGGTGTGTGTTTTGTATACAGGAAGCTGGGGGCTCTGGCCCCAGAGCTGAGCATGCTGCCTTTGTGTGCATATGCTGACTCTCCGCACTGTGCGTTAACAATAAACTTACGCTTTTGATCAGACAAAGGACCTTTGAGTTTCCTCCTTCATGGGGTATATATTTCTATAACAATTTGGCGTTGCTGACATGTCTTGGCGTGGATACTTTCGGCGGGGACGAGCGGCTTTGTTTGGCCGACCTGGATCACCAGCCTCTGTTCCTTTTTGGAGACAAAGGAGGGCGTGCTTGTCCCCTGCACGGAAGGAATCCTTTTGCCACACAAGACCAAAAAGAACCTAATCTGGTGAGTCTTGTCTTTTCATCTGCGTAACGAGCCCAGGGCAGCACTTAAGTGTACACGGGGATTTGTTTATTTATGTATTTTTGGGGTATTTCATTCATTGCCACAGCATAGTCTGTGTGCGGGATTTTTTGGGGGGCTTTTTGTTCTAGATTGAAACTAGCGGCTGCGCGTTAGTATCGTCCTGTAGGCGACCCTGAAAATTTCTCCAAGTGTCTTCAGCCAGACCCGCTCCATTTCAAGAACGCGCGCTCGCTGGTTGAACCAGCGAGGGGGGAATGGAGCGCCCCAAAGTGGGTAGGAGCAGGGAGAGACCAAGCGGGTTAGGCCCATTGTTCGTACGAGAAAATGGGTAAAAAACAATCTAGAAGACGCAAGCTATGGAGTGCTTGCCTATGGTGCAGGCCATTACGCATCTTGCGTGATAATTTAGAAGAAGAAGGGAAGAAAAAATATACTTGGTTTTAAGAATATCACGGCAAAAGAGGGTAGAGAAAGAAATATGTAAAAACAATAGCTCCTCCGCCTTTCACCGAAGCGGAGAACACAGGCGGACACACACACACACATCCCCCACACCCCCACCCTACCCCTACTAACAATAAGTGTGCACCCAAACAAGGCGTTGGGTTTTTAAAAAATGAAGCAGACTACTGTTGTCTCTTTTCCCTCTCCCTTATCCAGGTCTGTCGGCGCCTTTCCTCCGCGCACTGTCCTCTGCCTCAAAGCACCAGCCCCACGCCCCAACCACAGGCGGCGCTCGCACCAGCTGAGACCCCGCGAGAAGTGGGCCCAAACCGCAGAAGAAGAAGAGGCGGAAACAGACACACGCTCAGGAAACCACAGAAGAAGAAGCGGAGGAAACAAATATGTGAGACACCGACAACTGCTTTGGAGCACAGAGAGAAACTGCTACAAATCCCGTGACTGTTCTCCACGGAGGGGGCAGCGTGATATACCAAACGCACCCGCGGAAACCCGCCTGAAAGTTGTTCCCGCACCGCAAACAGAAGAAGCCAAAAGTACCGGCACGTTTGGGTTATTCACCAACCCTCATGGACCACATGCTAACGCTTTGGGCTACCTGGGCCTCCTGCGGACTTTGAAAAACTTCCACAGCCCGGCGGAAAGACTGTGTGCTCGACATGGGTCGAAGGACTGTTACCGGAGGAGGCGTTAAAGGCAGAGGGCCTCTCAAGCTCACACGGGGCCAGAGGACGGCAGAGGCGGGCACGGAGGAAACACGAGCGACTGACCAAACCTGGGTTCACATTCGTCACCAAAGCGGCCGCTCATGTAAGTTGAACAACAACAAATTGCAATTGGCACTTTTTAGAGATAATTCATGCCCGTAATATACGCTAACAACCTGTGGTGTACAAGTTAAAATTCTGGATGACTCCGGGGCAACAAATTCTGTGCTAAAAGTGACAGCCTTTCTGTCTCCCCTAAAATGAGCGGCCGCTTCATATTCTAATTAGCAGCGTCGGAGAGACGACTAAAGAGCAATTTACGTCACCGCTAACGTGTTTTGATTCTCAGGGCAACCAGCTTAAACATTCTTTTCTATATTCCCCATTGTCCCCGGTTAACCTACTAGGCCGAGACCTTATGTGCAGACTCAATTAAAAATAGATAAACAAAAGGAGGCACCGGTCCCAAAAGTTAACTACCACTGGAAATTGACACCAAACCCTGAGATTGCTAAGTTATTAGCCACAACAAGTGGATAGTGACGCCCGCACAAAATTTGGAGGTCAACCACGCGAACGACCTAAGCTGCTCTCTCCGGTCGGTCCCAGACAATAACTTAGAGTTTGAAAATTCATGCAGTGTAGGGAAGATAGGCTAACGGAGTACGTTTATTGAGATAGGCACCACTATCTGTGCTACTTAATGAGCAACAAAAACATTTTATCGTGAAACAAAGGTGAAGTATTAAAGTTTGAGACTAATTTACATTTTTAATGAATCCGACCTGGCTTTATTGAAAAAGAAAAAAAATAAGGAAAATAAACATTTTTTTTAGGTGACAAGAGCTCATTAGAGATATAGGGGACACAATCTGTGATAAGCCCGAAGTATAGACCACGTGGTAAACACTAAAGTTGGAAATGGATCCTTTTAGGAAAACTCTTTTAAAGCTCTACAGGCTCTGAAAGTTGCAACAATAAGAAATAGCTCATGAGACAATTGGAATTGGACATGGGAAAATATAACAAAGTTAAAAGTACAGGCCTTCTGTGTTGTTATATGTTTGTGTATGTTATATGTTTTGTGCATGTTATAGGGATGTAAATCGGTGACCGGTTAACCGGTGGTTGACCGTCACAGCGTTAACCGGTCAAAGCTGTCGGTTAAAAATAAGAAAAAGCGGAGAGGGGAGGTCTCTTCATAACGCTATTTTAAGCCCTATTTGCACGATGTGACGAGCGGGTCCCTATCTAGCTGTGTGCGCCAATGCATTTAGTAGACTACGGGCGACTTTCATGGCGCACGCTCCACATATGCACGCAGCCACACGCGCGCGCACACACACACACACATACACACACAAACACTTTCCCCCCCTCCATACGTAACATCCACACGCATCATCTCTCCCCTCTGTTACCGCCAAAGTTCCACACTAGTGCAGGTCAGAACTACATTGGAGCTTATATTTACACACACACACATACATGTATTGTACACACACACACATACACACATACATACACACATGTATTGTACACACACACATACCGGGCTGTCGCGCTCCTCTGTGTCTCGCAGCCCAAAGAATCCTCGCAAATACGCGGCTTCAGTCAAACACATGAAACATGTTTGTGCTGCTGGTCCTTGTCATTAGATCAGATCCACACACATCACTTTTAAACTTTAGCGGAGACCTGCGAGACGCGGCTCGTCACTCGCTGCCCTGACCATGTGGACGAGCTGTCTTTTGCTTAAAAATGCTTTACCCGCAGCACAGTATGGGAAGATTAAAAAAGCAGTTCTCTGTGCACAAAGGTGCCGAAGCTGTTGCGGGTTTTGGCGCCGCTGTCTCAGCTCTGATCTAGTAGAACGCATAGATAAACTTATGAAAAGTACGCGGCTCGAAATGGCTGCTATTTCAAAGAACGTGGAATATTTTTAACTACGCGGTTAACCGGTTTCAACCGGTTAATGAGGCTCGGTGGTCGGTCATGAAAATGCATAGTTTTTTACATCCCTAGCATGTTATATGTTTGTGTGTCATGTCAAAGTACACTACGCTGACCTTAACAAACTGGACCAAAATACTAACGTGGGAAATCGGCCTGTGATGTGACTGTGATGTGACTGTGATATGAGTGTGATGTGTGAAATGAGGAATGCTGAACGGAATCATGGAATAACAAATGTGTCTGTAATGTTTTAATGTGATCATGGAATAATTATTTTTTGTCAACAGCATACGGTGTAAGTACTAGAGATTCAAAGATAACAAGCTTTATTGAACAGGTGTAAAAGTGAGAGTACTCTGGGATGAGTACTCTGAGAAAAGTACTCTGCTGAAAGTACTCGGAGATGAAATACCTCGCTGAAGATATTGGGAGTTCCTGCCTCTGCTGTTTGTCCTGACAGCGACACAGTCCAACCGCAGTGAGCTGTCGTTGGTTGAAGGACAACTTGGTTTGTAAACTCACATTTAGGGAAGTATAAAATTAGAAACATACATTTTGTTAAGTCTGTATTTTGCTACAGCCTCCGCCCTGATGCCAAACACCGTCTGTCAATGCAGTTATGTTTTGCCCAATTGGAAAAAGATTGACAAGCGAAAGTGGGCATTTTTTTGTGTTTTTTGTGTTCTAATATTTCTTTTTCAGATGAGAGATAAACTACCCCTGCTTCAGGGATGACAGTAGTATGGATCATGAGGAAATGAGCCTCTACCTTGGCACCAAAGCCCACAATATGAATTGAGGACGATCCGGGAGAAAGCAACTGGAGATGAACGGAACAGTCGGTACTTTTGCAGTCTCACGGAGGGCCACTGAGACCCACTGCTTACTTCTCAGCAAAACTCGATCCCGTGGCAGCAGGGTTGCCTCGCTGCCTGCGGGCTGTGGCTGCCGCTGAGAAAGCGGCCCTAGCATCACGTGACCTTGTGGGATACACTGAACTAACTTTGCTTGTGCCCCATGCTGTTTCCCTGATCCTGTTAGAGCAGAGGGCCTCTCACCTTTCTGCGGCTCGTTGGCTGGGGTACAAAGGGGAGGCACGCTGCTGTATCGCCACAATAGAGCAGAGATGCACTCCCAGGCCAGACCTGAAAGAGGTGCCTCTGACTAATCCTGACTTGATTTTTTTTTATACAGACGGAGCCGCGTCACGTGACAACACTGGGAAGAACCGAGTCGGCTATGCTGTGTGTTCTGATTTTGATACTATAGACTCTGGTAGTTTGCCCCACTACCACTCAGCACAAACCGCTGAGCTGGTCGCGCCCACCGGGGCGTGTGAGCTGGCAGCGGGCAAAACTGTTAACATATTCTGTGATCTGATGGTAAACCAATTCTTAATTCCACACAGGTTGAACGTCTGCTGAAAGCTGTAATGTTGCCCTTAGAGATCGCTGTATGCAAATGCCAGGCCCACACTAATGCCACTGATCCCATCTCTGCAGGGAATCGGCGCGCGGACAAGGCAGCGGCATACGCACCTCTACACACACACACACACACTACCTCACTCAAACGTTGATATTTTCTACTCCAGCAGAGACGCTGCTGTGAGAGGGGAATGGGGCTCAACGACGGCATGGTGTGTGTGGCTGGGACCAGACAGCAAACCGTGCCTACCACGGCATTTCTTCAGACAGTTTGCAATTTTAGCACATGGTCGAGACCATGCCTCAAAAGGAGGGATGATGTGTGATTTAATCACACAAAATTGGTATACAAAGGGGTTTACGGCATTTGCACAGAGATTCAGCCAAACATGCGCTATATGCCCCGCGCACAACCCAGGTAAGTCCCAAAAGTATCCAACAGGCTGCTCATCCTCCGCCCCTGCGCCCATTTCAACATGTCCAAAGGGACTTTGTTGAACTCACACCATGCCAAGGTAAGTAATACTGTCTGGGTCTGGCGGATCTCTGGTCCAAATGGACTGAAGTATTTGCAGGCATACACGCCACGAGCAACGCGGTGGTGAGTCACTTTGTAGCAAAAGTCATTGAGGAAGTGGGTGAATTTCTGGGCATTGATATACGTAAACACTGCAGTTACGCCCCCTGGTCCGGAGGCACGTGCGAGCGAGAGAATGGCACTCAAAGCTCTGCCGCTAGCCCCACGTTGGGCGCGGGACCCCCGAACAGAGATCTGCCAAGCACCTCTTTGTGTGATGACGACATGCTGTCCTATTGTAAGGAAATTAATGCACTTTTGTCCTCTATTTCTGCCCAGGTCAGGAGCGCCCTGCCACAGGCTGCGCAGGCGACTGGGTCCTGGTGAAGGAAACGAGACGAAAGCACTGGCGGTCCAAGCGCTGACCCGGCCCATTCCTCGCCCTCCTGGTGACGGACACTGCCGTTAAGGTCGCGGAGAGGACAACTTGGATCCACGCCAACCACTGTCGTGCGGTGCTGCCACTGAGGGCCATAGACGAGGACACCGAGGGCGCGGACGGACCAGGCCCATCCGCGGCTCCCCACGCTGAAGAAGTCGGCCGGCGTGCGGCCACCGTCGGTGAAGCAGGCCAACAACAACACCCAGAGAATCCCAGCGTTCCCGAGGCGACCCCCCTTGCCCAACTCCCCAGCCCCCGGATCCCAAGGCTTGGGAGCCATGAAGGCCCTGAGCGCTCTGCTCAGCTGCAGCAAGTATGCAGAGCTGCTGCCCATTCCAAAGATTTCTCCAGAGCTTGTTCCCTCTGGCCATAATGCAGATTTGAGCTCTGCTGGAGTGCCCCCCTGGTGTCTCGTCTCCCGTGTGTCCGGAGGAGGTGGAGATGAGGGCTGCTCTACAGTTCCTGATGAGGCACATGGTGAAGCGTGCTGTCATGAGGTCTCCCATCAAATGAGCTTTGGGCCTGGCCGATCTGGAGCGTGCTCAAGCCATGGTCTCCACACCCCAAACCCCGAGCACTGCGTTGAAGCCAAGGCTTCAACGCAATTAGAGTCTTGCCGCTCCAAGACCAAACATCGCCATGACCACTAACGCTCCACACACGCTCATAGGGAGCGGTGCCACTGACTGCGAGACGGCACTGCTCGTGAGTATTCCCGCGGAAAAGACTACCGAACGTAGACCGGCATGGGCCCTTGGACTGTTATGCTGGCCACACTGACACTACTTTCCGTGCTGACCGTGTTTATTATGTTAATATTGCCTTCTCTTATCGCTGTCCGGATCCATTGTGTTATTATAATGTGCTCTTTCTTTTATTGACAAGCATGTGTCTTTTCTTGTCCACTTTGGACAGCAATAATTTAAGTGTTTCAAGCTTGAAGGTGGTGTGATTACGATGCCTCTGGTATTTAACTGATTAATGCAAAAATGGTTTTGAATTATCAAAAGAGGGGAGTGTGGTGACAGTTTTTGGAGTAATTACATAAAACCAGCCGCAGCAAATACACGGACGTCAAAGGCCTTTTATCAATGCAGACGACCTTCTGACGCCATGCTGAGCTTTGGGAAGGTCCCTGCTGTCTGTCACACCCTTGTGTCTTTCCGTCTTGCATCTGTATGACCTGCATTTCCACCATTGTCTGTCTGTTCACACCCCATGCCACTGCCACCACAGGGGATAGCGCCGGCGCTTCCTGTGCGCCTCCTCACCGGTGGCCCCCTCCGCTCCGTTGTGGGCGTGACTATCTTTGGTGTGTGTTTTGTATACAGGAAGCTGGGGGCTCTGGCCCCAGAGCTGAGCATGCTGCCTTTGTGTGCATATGCTGACTCTCCGCACTGTGCGTTAACAATAAACTTACGCTTTTGATCAGACAAAGGACCTTTGAGTTTCCTCCTTCATGGGGTATATATTTCTATAACAGTGTCCAGGGTCAGTGAGTGTGTGTCTAGGGTTAGTGTGTGTGTCCAAAAAGATTTTACAAATTTGTGGGTTCCTCATCACAGTTCAGAGAATCAAACAGTTCAAACACAGTAGATGCAATAATAACAAACACAGCAGCCATGTGTTTGACCTCTGTCTGTGGTAACGACAGAAATGTCCTGGATCCTGCTACAATGTAACCCACTGCAGAAATAAATAACACAGTTAATGCATTTACTGTGTTATTCAGAAAGAAAGTGTCACTTCAGAGACGACAGATTTAAACAGTTCTTCAGAGACATGTTCAGTTCTCACCTGTCGCAGCAGCAGAAGTGTGTGTGTGTCAAAGAGAGATATTTAATCCCCAGTCCAAAGGTCCTGATTGTAGTAAAATAAATGACGATCAAAGTCTGCTCCAGTTCATGAGTTCCGTTTTCCGTATTTTATTACTTGTCACGATGGGTCATAATAAAATGCTATGATGAAAACATAATGAAACACAATAAAACAGAACAGAATACATTGATTGTTTGAAGACAGCAGCAGAATAAAGTGCATCATTACTGTTTGCAACTTACTGTTACGGGCCAGGCCCTTTCTGTCCAGGAGAGGGAGCTGTCTGGGGTTTGTCTGCCTTCTCTGCCGTCTCCTCCTATGTGCAGGTCCACACCTGCACCATGCCACGCCCCTCATCAGTGGGTCTCTTCACCTGGGAGCTGAGAGCTGCTCACTTCTCTCCTGTGCTGCTCTGCTTGGTCCTGTCCTGGTGGGCTCTACCTTGAACCACCGCGCCCATTCCCTTTTTGCACATTTGAGTTTGTCTTTTGTTTTATACACCACATTCACTGCACACTAGTGATGGGTAAATGAAACCTCACGTATCGTTTCGGCACATCCAACGAACTGTATTGATACTGTGCCGCAACAGTGTTGCTTGTGCTGCTCTATACTGACGCCTGGTGGATCTGATAAATCATTACATGCAACTCACTGATTCAATGAGCTTTACATACTTGTCTGTACACAATATTACGTTACAGCAGAGAGGAGAGCTACAGCTGAGAGCTACAGTGGAGAACAACAACAGAGAGCTACAGCAGAGAGCTAGAGTGGAGAACAACAACAGAGAGCTACATCAGAGAGCTATAGCAGAGAGCTATAGCAGAGAGCTACAGCAGAGAGCTACAGCGCCATATCTACAGCAGAGAGCTACAGCAGAGAGCAACAGGAGAGAACAACAGCAGAGAGCTACAGCAGAGAGCTACAGCGCCATATCTGCAGCAGAGAGTTACAGCAGAGAGCAACAGCAGAGAGCTACAGCAGAGAGCTACAGTGGAGAACAACAACAGAGAGCTACACCAGAGAGCTACAGCGCCATATGTACAGCAGAGAGCTACAGTGGAGAGCAATAGCAGAGCGGAGAGCTACAGCAGAGAGCTACAGCGGAGAACAACAACAGAGAGCTACAGCAGAGAGCTACAGCGCCATATCTACAGCAGAGAGCTACAGCAGAGAGCAACAGCAGAGAGCTACAGCAGAGAGCTACAGCGCCATATCTACAGCAAAGAGCTACAACAGAGAGCAACAGCAGAGAATCAGCAGAGAGCAACAGCAGAGAGCTACAGCAGAGAGCTACAGCGCCATATCTACAGCAGAGAGCAAACACAGAGAGCAACAGCAGAGAGCTACAGTGGAGAACAACAACAGAGAGCTACAGCAGAGAGCTACATCAGAGAGCTACAGCGCCATATCTACAGCAGAGCGCTACAGTGGAGAGCAACAGCAGAGAGGAGAGCTACAGCAGAGAGCTACCGCGGAGAACAACAACAGAGAGCTACAGCAGAGAGCTACAGCAGAGAGCTACAGCGCCATATCTACAGCAGAGAGCTACAGTGGAGAGCAACAGCAGAGAGGAGAGCTACAGCAGAGAGCTACAGCGGAGAACAACAACAGAGAGCTACAGCAGAGAGCTACAGCGGAGAACAACAACAGAGAGCTACAGCAGAGAGCTATAGCAGAGAGCTACAGCGCCATATCTACAGCAGAGAGCTACAGCAGAGAGCTACAGTGGAGAGCAACAGCAGAGAGGAGAGCTACAGCAGAGGGCTACAGCAGAGCGCTACAGTGGAGAGCAACAGCAGAGAGGAGAGCTACAGCAGAGAGCTACAGTGGAGAACAACAACAGAGAGCTACAGTGTTCGTTGGATGTGCCGAAACGATACGTGAGGTTTCATTTACCCATCACTAAACTGTATTGATACTCTGCCGCAACAGTGCTGCTTGTGCTGCTCTATACTGACGCCTGGTGGATCTTATAAATCATTACATCCAACTCACTGATTCAATGACCTTTACAGACTTGTCTGTGACGTAACTGCATTGTCTGTGTTATTATTTTATTTTTTATGTGAAAATTAAAGTGATAGTTGTGAATGTATTCGTTAAGCAAAATGTCATTGAGTGATTTTATATTTTTCTATTTATTTTTAATTTTTCAAAACAATAAGCATGTCCAAAGTGCACTGTAAACCCTGGCAACTAAAGTATACTTGAAAAAACCTTGGAAATAAATTGGACATTTTCTACACTTGACTGTGATGTCAACATAAACTTTTGAGGAATGTCTGGGATTCGTACCGGGTCTCTTTGGACGCAAGGCGAGAGCGCTATCCACTCATCCACTATGCCTCCCCAAACTGTATGTTTCAAACTAAATCTTGATTGTAGATAAAGCGTGAAATGTGAAATACAAATATTGCCTTATTTGCTATATCACACTGCAGAATACTTTCTTTTAGTGGCAGGTTCCATTTTGATGCTGTAAAATGGGATATTTTTCCTTTTTGAAAGGGTTATTTTCTTTTTCTGAGAGAGATTCATCCCGGTGACACTTGCAGATGTGGAACCTTTTAAACACAGTTTGCCGCGTTGGTGACAAGGGATACAGCATCTGTATCGGTCACGTGGCTTTTTCTTAAAGCGGCACGCGCGCCGATACGGGGTTTGGCTAAACGAACTCGGCACATGCGCCGCTGTATCAGTGTTGCTGGACCCATCACTACTCACCTTCATATTGCATTTCCAGATCCTGTGCTCGTCCAGCTGTCTCCGCTCTGCTCTCCAGCCGGCCTGCTCCCTGTCTCCACTGCTCCTTCCCTTTGAGTATTTTTGGTTAATTAAAGACTTTTGTTAAACTGCTTTGGCCTCCCTCTGCTTTGGGGTTCGAAACTCACCCATAACAGACCGTCTCCTTTGATGTGACTGTTTTCCTTATCGTGTGGATGATGTGATCTTGGATTGGGACAGTGTCCTGTTCCTGTGTCCTCTGCCTCTGTCCTCTCGACCCCCTTACCCCCCCTTGTTCCTCTGCTCTTCATACCTTGAGTTACCTATTTTCATGTATCAGTGCAGCGGTGTGACATGTGTTTTTCCTGTGGCCATTGGCCAATGAGGGACCAGACCATCCTGATAAAGCTTGTGTGAATCCCATTGTGTGTCAGAGACTGATGCAGGGTCCGAGGAGCGACTGCAGAAGCTTTCTCCATTTGCAAATGCTTGTTCTTATCATGTACTTTTTACTTTCATGAAACCACACAAAATGCAACTCTGTTTCCACGGATCATTAAGGACATTTCCACAACAGGGAGCGCGCTTGACCGCGGGACACTTGTTGTTTTCTCTACGTGGAACTGGATTCCACATGGTCCGGGGCCGCAGTGGACTGATAACCATGTGACCAGCGCGGACAGGACAAGCTGTGAGGAATACATCTGAACCATGTGAGGAATACATCTGAACCATGTGAGAAATACATCTGAACCATGTGAGAAATACATCTGAACCATAAATACATCTGAACCATAAATACATCTGAACCATGTGAGAAATACATCTGAACCATGTGAGTAATACATCTGAACCATGTGAGAAATACATCTGAACCATGTGAGAAATACATCTGAACCATGTGTGAGAAATACATCTGAACCATGTGAGAAATACATCTGAACCATGTGAGAAATACATCTGAACCATGTGAGAAATACAACTGAACCATGTGAGAAATACAACTGAACCATGTGAGAAATACATCTGAACCATGTGAGAAATACATCTGAACCATGTGAGAAATACATCTGAACCATGTGAGCCTCTGAAGTGTCCCTGTGTCTCCTCCTGTCGCCCTGAACCTACAACTCACTACATTAAAGCTGAGGTACCTACATTTCCCCTGCGTTCATAATGTATGTTGCTCCTCTCTCTCTTTGACCTGCTCCTCTCCCTCTTTGACCTGCTCCTCTCTCTCTTTGACCTGCTCCTCTCCCTCCTTGACCTTCTCCTCTCCCTCTTTGACCTGCTCCTCTCTCTCCTTGACCTGCTCCTCTCTCTTTGACCTTCTCCTCCCTCTTTGACCTGCTCCTCTCCCTCCTTGACCTAGTAAATGGTGAGACACAGTTACTGATCGAGAGGAGTTTACTTTTCAATGTAAGTCAATAGGAGCCCAAGTGAGCTGCTGCAGAACCTGAGCACCTCCCTATTGGGCTTCGATGCTAGCGGGTTAGCATTGTCCATCTATAAACAGTCCATGTTCCACAGTGTTAGAAAAGACTCCAGATTGCAGATCTTAGAAGCTAATGTGCAAACGTGTAGATTTGCATCCTTGCTTTACAGGCCAAATGTGACATGTACATTTGCCCACTGTGAGATCAATAAAGTTTATCTTATCTTCTACCAGCTGTGGCTACGATAGGAATGTTGTGGAATTTCTGTACAGACCGAAAGCATAAAGAAGAAAAACAATGTAATCAACCCAGTGCTGCAAAACAATCAAAGTGTGAGTTTATTCATCAGTAAATGTGAGATACACTGTAAACAAAGGAAAAACCACCACGTCAGCCATACCACCGGGCAGCTCTCTGAAGCCTTCTGCCCCAATGATCCAATTAGTAAACATTAAATAGACATTAGAGTAAAGAAAGAACATCTACTTCAGATATTAAAGAAATGAAGTCATGATTGACATGTGTAGCTCCAGGCTTTCCTTTGGTCTGATACAACACTGATACATGCATCTGTTTGGACCTGGAGCAGTCTTTTGACACATTTAGTAGAAAACACGTTGCCCATCTCTCAGCTGACCTTACTGCAGCACAGAACCACAGATAATATGTTCTGTATTTGAATCAAGAGATAATCATTTACTTTTATAAACCTTTCATGTTCATTCAGATGTCTATACAAGTCAGATTTCATTCACAGGAGTTTACCACCACTGTGTCTATTAAGCATTAATAACAGAAAAGACCAAAGGCTCTGTGCACGATGTCATGTAAATGTTTAAAACAGAGCATTTAGACAGATGGGCAGGGGGCATGGTTGGTGGATGGAGCTAAAACAAATCCAGGTCAGTAGCAAAACAGGAAGAACAATCTAGAGACATGAAAGTCCTTTATGGACAAGCAACCTGCCGACGTGTTTCAGAGGATTTCTTTAGTTTAGGGCAATCAGGAAGTAGAGGCCTACAGTAAAGATGAAGCTGTATCATAAACGTAACTCAATCTATCACATGTCAGAAAGTTGGCCTTTTCATAAACTTATGTAGAGTCTTTCTTTTCTGGTGCCTTGCTCCATCGCAGTTTGAAGTCAGTCCCAGGGATTTTCTCCTGGAGTCTTTCTTGGAGCTGTTTCAGAAAGAATCAGAGTGAGTGAGGTTGTACAGACTGAACATAAGACATGGATGTACCAGTTTGAGCAGCTGCTCAGAGACGGCTGCATCACTCAGGTCCACGTCAGTCTGGATTCTCATCTGTGTCTGCAACACGGAGCGTCTCTGTTTCACTGCAAACACAAGCTCTGAGTCAGGACAATACTCTTCTGCTGACGCCTCAACAGGATCTAATGTCAAACATGACATTCTGCAATAACCTGCTTTCATTTGATCAATCCAAGGGGAAAGCCCATGTAGGAAATGATTTATGCTTCAAACAGTCACAAAGAGGCTTTATGACGGTCAGGAGGAATGGAACAGAATTCCATCCAATAATTGTGAGAGATTGTTGAAGGAAACCCAAAAGACCTAAAACAGGAGAACTTTGGTCAGATATAACTTACAAGAGTGAGACTGTAGCGCTTCCATGGTTCAAACTAAATAATATAATTTTAAAACTCTTTTGGGGAAATATTGTGTGAATGTTCTCTTCTGACCTGGAGCGGGCTGTGATGTGAGAACAGAAAGAAGGTTCATATTTCATAGGTTTGAGGCACAAACCTGTAGATTTCACGATGAAAGAAAGAAATGAATAAAAGAAGTTCAGGAAGAAAAGGAGGATAATAATCCCCACACAGTGGCTGAGTGGTTAGCACTTGTGCTTCACAAGGTCCTGGCTCAATTCTACCTCCAGACAAGGGCTTTCTGTGTGAGGGTTTGCATGTTCTCCCCGTGTCTGTAGGTGGCCCTCTACCACTGAACACATGTTCAATAGTTCAGGGTGAATGTGTGTTTGTGAGAGCAACTGTGGACACAGTAAAGGAACACCAGTCCCTAAACAGGACCTTCTTACTGAGAAGTGATAACCACTCAGCCACCGTGCGTTGCTAATGAAGTCCTGTGTCCTCGCAATGATATTGAATTGTGTCCCTATTATCAGAACACTAGTTCCCTAGTGCTCATTGTTCTGTGATCAGCTGCTGGTGGTTCTGCTGGATTAGGAAAATCCAAAATCCTTCTGGACAACAAAGAAGTCTGCTTCTTACTGATACTTTCTCCTCCCAGCTCTACAAGGTTGACATCAATAACTGGACAGACTCTGGAGTATTGTTAAAAGCACTGAGAAACTTTACCACCATGACAGACTCTGGAGTATTGTTAAAAGCAGTAGAAACTTTACCTCCATGACAGACTCTGGAGTATTGTTAAAAGCACTGAGAAACTTTACCTCCATGACAGACTCTGGAGTATTGTTAAAAGCACTGAGAAACTTTACCTCCATGACAGACTCTGGAGTATTGTTAAAAGCAGTAGAAACTTTACCTCCATGACAGACTCTGGAGTATTGTTAAAAGCAGTAGAAACTTTACCTCCATGACAGACTCTGGAGTATTGTTAAAAGCAGTAGAAACTTTACCTCCAGACAGACTCTGGAGTATTGTTAAAAGCACTGAGAAACTTTACCTCCATGACAGACTCTGGAGTATTGTTAAAAGCAGTAGAAACTTTACCTCCATGACAGACTCTGGAGTATTGTTAAAAGCAGTGAGAAACTTTACCTCCATGACAGACTCTGGAGTATTGTTAAAAGCACTGAGAAACTTTACCTCCATGACAGACTCTGGAGTATTGTTAAAAGCACTGAGAAACTTTACCTCCATGACAGACTCTGGAGTATTGTTAAAAGCAGTAGAAACTTTACCTCCATGACAGACTCTGGAGTATTGTTAAAAGCAGTGAGAAACTTTACCTCCATGACAGACTCTGGAGTATTGTTAAAAGCACTGAGAAACTTTACCTCCATGACAGACTCTGGAGTATTGTTAAAAGCACTGAGAAACTTTACCTCCATGACAGACTCTGGAGTATTGTTAAAAGCAGTAGAAACTTTACCTCCATGACAGACTCTGGAGTATTGTTAAAAGCAGTAGAAACTTTACCTCCATGACAGACTCTGGAGTATTGTTAAAAGCAGTAGAAACTTTACCTCCATGACAGATGAACTTTTGTGGTTCTGAGCAGGTGTCGTCCTGCATTTGGCCGTCTTCATTCATATGGACACAGTGCTCATTGTTATTTTCGTTCTTGGGTGATCCAAGCTTCCAATTCCTGAAGCTGCTGTTGCTGAGGTCCGACCAGAGCCATATGTTTCGGTACAGACCGATCCAGGTATTATACAATAAACCCGCCCCCGCAGCCTGGTTCTCCTCTGCACTCTCGATCTGAGCCATGTCCGTGTAATTCTGTCTGCACACGCTCTGGCAGCCGAGCCATGTCCTGCTTATGTCATTCAGCAGAAAGAACTGTTTGACACCGGACTGAACTAAACACAGAAACACAACACAGTAGAAGCTTAAAGTATTGACAAACCAGTTCACAGTTGTGTTATTTAGTCTGTTTTAGCTGTCAGACTGTGGTAATGAACGCATGTCATCGTATAAGTCAAACACACTCACCTTCGAAGCAAAGACAAAACACTTTGGTAGTGCAGAGAATGTCGACCCATTGGCTATTTTGAATAATAACACATGCTTCTTTACCAGCCCATTTATCTGGATTTACTGTCTTCCAGTTCTGGAAGCCTCCAGGGCTGGTGGCCCCAGTGACAGACCATCTCCAGGAGTTGGAGGCATTGGTCATGACTTGAAACCACGCAGCAGGGTCATCATGAAGACCAATCCAAGCCACTTGACCAGCCGGGATGTGGACTCTGCTCAGGTCCTCCTCTCTCTCTATCGTGGCCAGGTCAGTGAAGTGCTCTCTGCAGTACTGCTGAGCCTCACTCCAGCTTTTGGACTGGTTGATGAAATAGTACTCTTCAATCAGTTCATGAGAAAATGTAAAGAAGATTGTTCCATGACCTAGAGATGAAAACATGTCACTGAACTGAGAAAGCAGAGAGAGAACCAAGTGCATGTTCTCCTTATTAAAGTATATTTAAATAACACCTTCAAACTACAAATAAATCCTAATCAAGAACACACAGAGCCATGGCGGCGGAATTAAATTGTAATTATTCTCAGATAAATGATGGTGGCGCCGTGTGGCTGTGACAGGAAACACCAAACTGATACAACTGAAAAAGTGATGTCATTTTAGTGTCTTATATCTCATCAATCAGTCATCAACTCATCAGTCATTCCAAATGTGCCTCTCATGTAACGCACAGATGGAATGGGCTCTCATTAAGCCTCCAACAGAATCAGCAGTGGCATGTTGACAACAGGCATTTTTACATCCACGTAGTTGTAGCAGATTGTGTTGGATCTAGTTTTGTTGTTGACATTTGCACAGTGGCAATTTTGTGGCTGCTCTTGTTGTTTGTTGTTCTTCTAACTCAGGCTGTTGTGTTGTTTTCATTCAGCTCTGATTTGGGCTGACAATATTTATAGCATTTCATTATTCAACAATAATTAAAGGAACTTTATTAAATGTACATGTATTTGTGTTTTGTGTAACATTTGGATTAAACTCATCAGACCAAATTAATTAAAAGGCAATTTTATTTTCACTAACCATGAACGAGAAGATTATAACAAACGAACAGTATTTAAACTACCGCAGATATTCTTATCGTAGGAACTTTATAGATATTTTGACCGTGCACAGATGTGGAGGAGCCGGATCCATCTTTGGAGACGCCGGTACCGGTTCAAATGAATCACTGACCGTGAATTGTGCAGCGATGGGGCCCATAGAGGGCTTCGACACGTGCACTGTCGCTTGTTTGTTTGCCTTTTGGTTGTAGAGGGACTAGATTTATGCTTGTATCATATGGGCTGAGATGGCGTGAGTTGGAGGGAGGGGAGGGCCCAGACAACTACCCTTACGCCACTGCTGAAGCGGGTCGGTACCAGAGCGGGTTGGTATCGGAGCGGGTCGGTACAGGAGGAGATCTGGCTCTTGACAAAGTCCAATGCAAGCCGCTCAAAGGTCTTCATCAGAACAGACATGAAGACAACCGGACAATAGTCTTTGGAGTTTTCTTTGGAACCAGGATGATGGTGGACTTTTTAAAGCGGGCCGGCACCGTGCAGTTCCTCAGAGACAGTTGAACATCTCTGTTAGCACAGGGGCGAGTTGTTCTGCACACAGCTTCAGAACGCGAGGGGGGATACCGTCTGGGCCTGCAGCTTTCCGAGTCAGGGTTCTGGACAGGACCCACTTCCTCCTGCGTCACTGTAAAGGCTGCTTGTTCTATACAGTCATGGAGGACGACAGGTGAGGGATCAGCGGCCTCGAAGCCACAGTAAAAGTTATTGAGCTCGTTGGGCTTTGTCTGCGATGACAGTTCTGCGCTCGGCTTCCAGGATGTGATGGTCTGAATACCCTTCCACATTGTCCTTGGATCATTCTCTTTAAAGTGTCCTTCTAGCCGCGCTCCATAGGACCGCTTAGTGTGTTTGATAGAACGTTCTAGAGCATATCTGGACAGCTTGTAATCCACTGCATCACCAGATTGAAAAGCTAATTCACGCTCATGGATTCTACTTTTGACTTCTGAGGTCATCCATGGGTTTTGACCACAATGCTTTTTTATTATTTAAGGTGGAACACAGCAAGCAATTCATAAAGCCTGGTTCACACGAGACGATTTTAAAATTGTCAGCCAATTTTTTTTTCCGTGTGAGACCTGACACACGGAGATAAAAAATCATGGGTCTTTGGTCGTACAGTGTGTGGTGCAGCCACACGGAAAGATCACACAAACCACACACATCACACATCATGTGTCAGAGTAAACAATCATGGCGGACGAAGAGGATGCAGTGGCGATACTTTGTTTTTATCTGAGAAAAGACTTAATCAGAAGAAAAGGCAATGGTCAAAGAAGTGTAGACAACACGAGCTCGGACTGTACTTGCTTCATCCTGATCTGGAGGTGAGTTGTTTTTTTACGGTGTTTCCTCGCCGCCTCGTCTCGTTTGATTGGCTACACGCCGCAGTCATGGCAACATGCTCGTCTGTCCTCGGGGGACACCACACACGGAGAGAAATCGGGCCAAAACAATCTAACATGTTGGATATCCCCGATATTGAGATCGGAGCAGTCCCGAAGTCCTTCGAGCGACGAGCACAGTCTTAACACACCACACACGGAAAATCCATCAGATTTATTGTTACGATATTCGGAGCGTTCTTACGATTGTCGTCGGGGTAAATCGGGTCCAAAATCGGCCTAATTATCCTGCCGTGTGAACCAGGCTTTAGTCAATGTATCCCATTACAGCATCACAGTATTCATCCACATTTTCCAAGTGGAAAACAGACCAGTCAGTGGCTTCAAAACAGCCCTGCAGCTTTAAGTTTGCGTCGTCTGACCAACACTGAACAGAACGAAAGGATGGTTTCTGTAGCTTGATGAAGCAGCATAGAAGAGTGGTCAGACCTCCCGAACTCTGGTCTGAGGTAAGACTTTAAGGCCCCTTTAATTACTAAAGCAGAGATCCAGAAAGCGAGCACCCCTTGTAGGCACAGACACATGCTGGTGACAGTTAGGGAGCGCTGATTTTAAGTTACATTTGTTGAACCCCGCACGAGTCCTATTCATTTGACAAATGCCTTAAAATGTCTACAGCGGCTGAACTAGACGGGTCCCAAAAAATATACTCCCCTCAGCATCAACAGCATCTGGAACGTAGCTTTGGACCAAGAGCCACTTTCGGACCAAGAGCCACTTTCGGACCAAGAGCCACTTTTGGACCAAGAGCCACTTTCGGACCATCCTGTTCAGAGGTTTTCAAGAGGAAAGAAGACGCCATACAAAAGCGTTGGATAATTCTCTTTTTTGGACATTTTTGAGCCGGGACCCACTGGTCCAGACCAAGCCCCGGTGATCCAAGATGGTGGCCTCTTTAAATCAATGGCTTGTGCTCAGTGGAGCATGGGACCACCATGGGCACCGGACGATAAATGGAACTTGTCCATTTTTGGGCCTTTCTCTGGTCCTCCCGGTTCTGTGCAGTGGACGACCTCCCATGATGCTTTGTGCCAAACACTAATGACTATGTGTGTGTGTGGCTCTCATGCACGTGCACAGAGGAACACCATATGTCATTTATGAAAACATTCCTGTCAAATGTCGAGCAGAGACTGTATTATTTTCTAGTGAAGTCTCCGCTGGACCTGCCACATGTGCAGTGTATGGATGTGATGAAATGTAAACAATTATTTATTTTACTTACCATAAAATATTAAGACCAACAGAGCTTTGTGATCCATGTCTGATGACTCACCCTGCAGAGACCCAAAACCACAGACTCAGAGACCCAAAACCACAGACTCAGAAACCCAAAACCACAGGCTCAGAGACCCAAAACCACAGACTCAGAGACCCAAAACCACAGACTCAGAGACCCAAAACCACAGGCTCAGAGACCCAAAACCACAGACTCAGAGACTCAAAACCACAGACTCAGAGACCCAAAACCACAGACTCAGAGACCCAAAACCACAGACTCAGACACCCAAAACCACAGACTCAGAGACCCAAAACCACAGACTCAGAGACCCAAAACCACAGACTCAGAAACCCAAAACCACAGACTCAGAGACCCAAAACCACAGACTCAGAGACCCAAAACCTCAGACTCAACCAAACACTGCAGGACAATCTCCATCTGACAGAGTTATATTCAGTGTCACTTCACTGAGTGGTTCTTACCTGGCGGCTGTCGCTCTCAGAGTCTGGTCTCCAGACTTCAATATAAAGAATCTTTTTGATCCTCAGTCTCATTTACATATCGGAGTCAGTCTGTCTCACTGTTGTCATTTTGTGCTTGTTTTTGCATTTGCAAGACAAATTCAGGATGTTGGTCTTAATCTCATAAGACTCTGACGTACTTCCTATAAAACAAGTGTGGTACTTTGTGTTTTTACGACTCCCTTCATCCAAATCCTCTCCTGAGCTCAGGTCTGCAGAGTTCCTCAGTCTCTGCTCCTTTTCATTAAGGTTCTTTTACAAACTTATGTTTCTATAAATCACAACAAAACAAACAAGATTCACTTTGAAAAATACTGTTGGAAAAAGAGGCGGACGAAGCAAATGCTTATTGGGCTCCGACCCCACACAACACAACACACACAAACACAACACAATCACACAAGACACACACGCAATACACACACACACACAAACACACACGCACACACACACACAGTTGAATACAAACAACTTTTGATTCAGAGACAAACTTCTTAAAGAATCTTTAGGGTCTGGTCTAACGACTGAGAGACTAAATTATGTTTCAACAAGAAAAAGGGTGACACAGACTTTAAGAATGGCAAAAGCAAAGTTCTTTATAAAGGTGACAGATGATGTCAGAGGAAAGTGTAAAGTTATCTGGGATAATATTAAAACATTGACTGGACGACCAAGAGGAAAATGTGGAAGAGAACTTGAACTTAAATTTGATAAAGAATTGGTCAGTGATCTCGTTATTCTTGCTGATTAATTACATGATTATTTTCAGAACATCATAAATGAGATTGCACAATATTTTAGATCGTCCTGTGATACTCTTAATAATTCATGTAAAGAAATAGGGAAACCAGGAGTGCGCACACTTTCCCATGGTGCACCTGAGTTTAACATTAAAAGAGTCTTGGAAATCGATGTATTCAATAAAATCTCCAAATTAAGAAATTCAAAAGCTCTGGATATATTTGGAATAGATATGGATCTAGTGAAGCACTTTAAAGTGTGTCTGTTAAAAGCCCTCACACATATCATTAATGTATGGATTACACAGGCAGCTGTTGCACTGAAGTGGAAGAGGCCCAACATTACACCTATCCATAAATCAGGTGAAAAAACACACCCTGCTAACTATCAGCCAATCAGCATTCTGCCTACTACAGAACATCTTCACACTGCA